CTGGATATCCAATGCAAAAAAATGAAACTGAGTCCCTACCTTACCCCATATACAATAATTAACTTCAACTGGATCAAACACCTACATGTAAGAGCTAAAACTATAAAACTCTTAGTGGAAAATACATAAATCTTTGTGACTTTGGATCAGTTTCTTATATACACCACCAAAAGTACAAGCAATAAAAGAGAAAATAGATCAATTGGACTTTGTAAAATAAAGACTTGCGTTCCTCAAAGGACAGCATTAAGAAAGTGGAAGAAAACAAAGAATGGGAGAAAATCCTTGGAAATAAAATATCTGATAAGGGTCTAATAAGAAGAATACATAAAGAATGCTTACATTTCAACAATGAAAAGACAAACAATCCAATTAAAAACTGGACGAAGGATTTGAACAGACATTTGCCCAAGAAAATACACAAATGGCTAGTAAGCACAAGGAAAGATGCTCATCATCATTAATTACTGGGAAACACAAATCAAAACACAGTGAAATATCACTTCACACCCACTGGGATGGCTAAAATAAGAACAGAAAGGGAAATAAAAGGTGTTGGCAAGGATGTACAGAAACTGGAATCCTCATACATTGCTGATGGGAATGCAAAATGGTGTCGCCACTTGGAAAAAGAGTCTACAGTTCCTCCGAGAGTTAAACACACAATTACCATATTATCCAGCAATTCCAATTCTGGGTACATGCACAAAAGAATTGAAAGCAGGGACTCAAACATTTGTACACTGGTGTTCCTAGCAGCATTACTCACAGTAGCCGAAAGATGGAAACAACTCAAATGTCCATCAACAGATGAATGGGTAAACAAAATGTATTGTATACATATGCTATCCAAATTAATGCCACTGAACTTTATGCTTAAAAATAGTTAAAATGGTAATTTTGGTTATGTATATTTTACCATAATAAAAAAATTGTATATGAATGTTTGTAGCAGTATTATTCATAATAGACAAAAACATGGAAACAATTCAATGTCTATCAACTGGTAAATGGTAAAGTGCAAATACATCCATACAATGGAATATTATTTGCCAACAAAAGTGAATTAGGAACTGATGCATGCTACAGCATGGATGAACCTGGAAAACACTGTTAGGTGAAAGAAGCCAGTCATAAAATGTGGGGAGCCAGCTGGGATTAGCCAGGGACACTGAGGACTGAGGCTGTAAACTGGCAAGCTACAGGCCTCCATGTTAGGGTGAGCAGCTTGAGAGCAGCTTGAAAGTTAGACCAGAGCTGCAGTAAGGGTTAAGCCTAACAGCTGGCAAGCTGACGGGCTCTCAGGCCCGGGGGGAGCATCATGGGAAAGGTTGCTAAGTAGATCTCATCTCCACTGTGCCGCTGAAGAAAGAACAGCCAACGTCACAGACAACCTTGAAAGTTGCAGAGTGGAAGGCTACCCTGTTAACAGTTTCTACTTGCTATGTTTTGTCTCACTTCGGGGAGATTGCTCCCAAAAACCCCTACCTAAGGAAAGCTTCTTTTGCTATAAAAGCTGTGTACAAACAAGAAACGAGGCCACTCCCTGCCATCAGCACTGAGTGGACCTCCTGTCCCTAGCTTTCGTCTCTAATCTCTTTCTTTTCTAGTCTCCCACCCAATCCTCTCAGGTACACTTTTGGTGCGCTCCTGGCTGATGAGGCAGGTGCGTTCGGTTGAGCGAGCTGGTCTCATTCAATAAAAGACCACATAGTGTGTGATTCCCAATTATATGAAATGTCCAGAATCGGCAAATCCAAAGAGAGTAGTTGGTGGTTGTCTGTGGCTGAAGGTTGACAGAGGGAATGGGGAGTGACTACCAATGGGTATGTTTTTTTTCTTTCTTTTTTTTTGAGGTGATGAAAATGTTGTAAAATTGATTGTGGTGATGACTGCACAACTCTGTGACTATATTAAAAACCACTGAACTGTACACTTTAAATAGGTAAATCATATGGCATGGTAATTATATCTCAGTAAAGCTATTTTACAAACATAATGAGGTTAAAACTGGATAGGTATTTGGGGGGAAAAAACTACCTCCCACTTTATACAGTCTGAAATTAATTTTGACAGTTAAGATATTTAAACTCCCTTTAAAAAAACTATAACAGTACTAAAGAAAAGATAGGGTGACTTATTTACAATAATCTTGGAGGGTTGGCAGAGTGGTGCATTGGTTAGGAATTGGCTTGGGACGCCAGCTCTGAGCA